GGGTTGACACCCTGAGTAGTGCAATGACCCAAACCTTCTATAAAGATTTTATTTTATCTTCAAGTATAAACACGCAGGTTAAAGAAAATGTAAGCAGGAACCTCATCACCACCAAAGATCTATTTCTTCCCCTGATGATCAGCCACACTCACAATAATGCAGGTATCAATAGACTTTTTCCTCTGAAAGGAAGACGACACTTCAGTAGGGCTAAACCCTCTCGTAACCAAGTCCCCATTACAGAGACTCTAGATCCCTCTTCATTGTAATTTCCTCATAAGAGAGTCCAGTTTGACACCGTACAAATGAGACTTGGGATTGAAGTGAGGTTATGCCCAGTATTTCAGAAATCTACCTTTACAAGAGCGAGAAGATTTAAAAAGAATAAAGTAGAAGGAAAAGTAGGCACCCCGAGTACGGGGCCTCACCAACACAAAGAGCCCCATAAAGTTGCCACAATCTTTAGAAAAAAAGCCGAACAAGGGAACATGCTGACATAGTTCAGTATTTCCTTGGTCCTAGACATTATATTGAGAATTATGAATCATTATAAACATATTGAATAATAGCCACAAGGCATGTTTCCAAACCTATATTTGGCCCAAAATTGGAACACTTTCAGATAAGTCCATGAGCACGGTAAGATTTGGAATAGGGCAACCTTCAAGTATTTAAACACTGCCACCTCAAAGTTTTGGCATAGGAAAACAAAGGTTTAGCCTAGTGAATAAACACTCATAAAAGGGGACAAAACACCCTTCAAAAGGGCTAAATATCCTTTTCTTTAGAGCCACCAGGAGGACTGTCCAGTCAGAGCTCGGTCGATCTTAATATTGTCCGCATTTACGGCTGCCTAAATACTTAAAATGGAAGAACTCCCCACTATCAGTGAGTCCACCCAACCGTATTTGTTTGCATCTTCTAGCTCCACCAATGTGGCCTTTGTCAAAGACAACTCATCGACCTTAAAGATCTTAAAATGTTTAAGCCAACTGACTTCTTCCTGTCAGGCCCCACACTCTAGTTGATCCTTGAGGTCGGTCGTAATTGGGTTCCGCCACATTCTTTCCATTCGGACTTAACATAGTCTTTGACACCCTTCCTTTTTAAGAGATCATCCTCCATCTCTAGAGTCATCAGAACAGGAAAAGCGGAAGCTCCTCCGACCGGAGAATAAGGGGGCATGGAAGAAAACACATGATCATCTTCAACTACATCATCAAATAAGAGAGCATCGAAATAGGAGTTTCTAGAGGAAACTTCCCTATTAATAAAACTTGTAGAGAGCCTCTTCAAATGATAATCATCAAATATAGATATGACCTCATGGGCCAGGTGATTAGTGTAAAAAGGGTAAGAGTTTGAGCAAGAAGATATCCCTACCTTAACTATAGAAGATTCATCACTCTCATAATTATTAAGCAAACTAATGGGACTTTTGCTCATATTTCCTAACATAAATGAAATGTTGAAGAAATGAAAAACTTAAGGTATGAAGGGGACCTGGTAAAGTTGAAGCTGACGAGAAAGCGAAGTTTAATGGAGGAGAATGGAAGTTTTTCCTAGGGGATATAAATCACTCTAATAAATACTCTTGGGAAAGAAGAGAAAAATGCGCTCACAAATAAAACTGACTCTCAAAGATTATGAAATGTTATCTCAACACTTGAAACCCTCAATATACATGTGAAGGCAAGTAATGGATCAAATCATCAAAAGCAAGAGGTTATAAGATCTACAATTGGATTCTCCCTAAGGAACATGAACAAACTCAAGTGCACTATAAGAAAGTGTCATGCCCTAAAGTTGTCATCTCACGCCACACGTCAAGGAAGAGCAAATAAACATTTTAATGATAAGAAGGCATTTAATGCGACTATTCCCCTATACTTTTGCAACTTATCCAAGGTGATTCCACTTGTATCCCATAGTGAACAACATTCCTAGAGGTTGGCCATGATTTCTAAGACTTCCCCGACCAATCCTCTCTTGATAAGCGTTGGGAGAAACTGTTTTGGGTCGGTCAAAGGCCTAAAGCTAAGGCATAAACTAATAAAAGTCGAACCCAAATAATCAACATATAAAAGCCAACTTTGGGAGATTCAAGGTACACTTTTCTTATCTCCATTTCTTACTACACTCATCTTGAATTAAGAACTGACTTAGGCGTTGGAATGCTAACCAATTCTGGTATTAGAGATCAACACCACCAGTTCAAGATCCCTCACCACCCGCCTCGCCGTATTAGAGATCAACACCGCCAGTTCAGGATCCCTCACCACCGATACTTACCAATTCTGGTTTCACAATAGAACAAAATATAATAGTGAGAATAATAAAGGTTTATCTAGAGCGACACCCATAATCTTACAAGTCGATTTTGTAGAAATGAGTTAGAGAAAACTCTAATTTTATCATGATATCACAAGCCTATCAATTCAAATCACCCACCATTTATATGAGTATCAGACTCAATAGTGTTAGGCGTGAAGGGGTGGATTGAAAAAATTATGTCTCATATATCAACATCTGGGTCACCCACAATTTATGTCCACACATCAAATTCAATAGTGTTAAGCGTGAGAGGTGTATTGAAAAATATTATTTGCATAGAAAGATACTTCTCACTTTAAATATCAGTTTTGTACGAATGAGTTATGGAAAACTTTATTTCTATCAAATAAAACAAATATGAACCAAATATTGTGTAAAATTCAAACTCACAAAAGATCGTATTATGTTGATTAATCACCTTCGTGTTAATTATACACAAAGGTAATAACAATATTTTAAAATACTTCATTTGCGATAATGGTGACACAAAGTATATTTTATATATTTATTTGTTAAAAAATGCAACTGACGTCTACCGTGAAGTTTTGGTAAAATGAACTTGTGTCACCATTTTAATCAACAACCAACTCATAATACCTGAATAGACAACTTCTATCGCCACAATCAAACTTTGAAGGATAAGGTCTTTAACCTCCACCAACAATAACAAGAGATTCAATCTCTTGGGAAAATCTGATGCAGGCTTCTCACATTTCAACATGAACTAGTCCTAAGTACAACCAAATACCCTAATTTATCAAACAACCCAACACAATTAAGAATTGTCTCTCAATATACTTTTTAGCAAATTATATATATATATATATATATATATATATATATATATATATATATATATATATATATATATATATATATATATATATATATATATATATATATATATATATATATATATATATATATATATATATATATATATATATATATATATAATGGAGCCAGAACCTTTTTAGTAGTGGAAAACTTATATAAATATTTTTCTTTTAAATCTAAAGTTTTGCATAATGTTTTTCAAATAATTGTATTTAATAGTACAATTAATATTATTTATCAAAACTTTTTTATTAATTATAATTGACATATGTAAAATGTAATTCAATAAATAAAAATATATTATTAAAAATTATTATATTAATATTCTTAAATGGAAATGTGGTCATTAGTTTTTATGATATTTATACATGTGAAAAATCTCAACAATTAAACTTTCAGTAGTTTTAAAATAAGTGTCGTACGAAATATAAAAGTTTTAAATTTAGTTGTTATAAACTTTATAGAAAGATGATAGCTCTTATAATTCTAAACCTTTAAGTTTAAGTATAATATAATATAATATTATATTCATATAATTAAATAGAACAACAAATAACACTGAAGAAATGTCGAGGGTTGTAACATTTGTTTTTACAGAGTAGACCATAGGATTGGAGAGGTGAAAAAAAGCTCTGTATAACAAAGTTTTAATATTTAAGTTATTCGTTGGTCTAATTTTAGACCCTTATTACATAAATATTTTGAGTTTGAGTATTTTTAAATAATAAAGTATTTGAGTTTTTTTTAAATAATAAAAAAAATAATTTTTTTTCGAAAGTTAAAAATAGTTAATTTTTTTCAAAAATAAAAAAAAAATTTTGTTTTTTTTACGAAAATAAATAAAAAGTCATTTTTTTTCGTAAATTGAAAAAAGTTGATTTTTATTCAAAAATAAAATCGATTTTTTCAAAAAAAAAATCAATTTTTCATAAAATAAATAAAAAAGATTTTTGAAAATAAAAAAAAAGTTGATTTTTTTCAAAATTTCAAAATAGTCGATCTTTTTCGAAAGTTAAAAATAGTCGGTTTTTTTCTAAAATAAAAAAGTCAATTTTTATCGAAAAACAAAAAAAAAAACTGATTTTTTTCTAAAATAAAAAAATCAATTTTTATAGAAAATAAAAATAAAAATAATCGAGTTTTTTTCAAAAATAAAATCAATTTTTTCGTTAAAAAAATTGATTTTTCGGAAAATAAAAGAAAATCAAATTTTTCTTAGTAAAAGTTGATTTTTTTTCGAATAAAAAAGTCGACTTTTTCTAAAAATATAAAAGTTAATTTTTTTCGAAAGTTAAAAATAGTTGTTTTTTTCGAAAATAAAATGAAGTTGATTTTTATTTTGAAAAAAACCTTTTTTTTTTTTAAATTAAAAAAGTAATTTTTTTTTATATAAAAAATTTGATTTGTGCTCAATAGTGTTAATTTTTTGAAAATATTGGGGTGCTTAGGCTTTTCTTAAATTTTTGGGAGCTTTAGTTTAAGAGTTCTACTTATTTTATGATTCATTTATCTTTAAAATTTTAAATTTCCTATATATTTTTAAGGCCTTAAAATTCAAGCTCCTACCTCCTAATTTCACAGCTCTACATATGATAATTATCAGACCAATCAAATCCATTTTTTAATTTAAGATATTAAAACAAAACGTCTATAGGTAGTAATATTTGGTACAATGTGTTTGTTAATTGGCCGCTAAAAGGCTCTGCAATAGCATTGAAGTTCATTTACTGATTATTCAATCACCCAACTGCATCTTCTCCTATATAAAAGGAGAATTCTCTTGGTTGTTTTAGTATACTTTTGAGTGAGAGAAAACGGTGAAGAGAGAAATGAGTAAGTTGTGCATTTTGGTGGTTTTGGCTCTTGCTGTAGTTGCAACAAGTGCCAGAAATGTGCCTGCTGGAGAGGGTGGTTTGAAGGACGAGAAGACCTTCGGTGAGTTTGGTGGTTTTCCAGGAATGGGTAGCAATGGTTTCCCTTTTGGAGGTTTAGGCACTGACGGTGGTGGTGGACTTGGAGGAACAAGAGGTGGTGGCGGTGGACTGGATGGAATAGGAGGTGGCAGTGGTGGACTCGGCGGAATAAACAATGGTGGCCTCGGTGGAATGGGAGGTGATGGACTCGGTGGTGGTGGCCTCGGTGGAACAGGAAGTGATGGACCCGGAGGATTCGGCGGGCCAGGCGGTGGTGGACAGGGTGGACCCAGCGGTGGGGGACTTGGAGATTCTGGTGGTGGTGTCTTTCCTCATCCTTGAATGACAAGTTAATTACTATGGAATTTATTATAATTTACTATTATTAAGAAAATAAAAGACAATTATATTAGGCTTATTGTTACCACAGTTGTCTAATTTTAGTGTTTTATTAAGATTATATTTTTCATTAAAGTGATTGGGTTGAGAGGTGTACAAACCCTTTTTGTTTTGGGGAATCAGATGATTTGTCTAAGTTCATTAACGACTTGAACATGTATGATCTATTGTTTTATTTTTCTTAGAATCTTGGTCACCTGTGATATCGGTGAAACGTTAAAATGGTGTGAATTCGAAGCTTTAGAGTTTCTATCTATGTGTGGGAAGATCAAACTTTTCTCTGACTTGGTAATATGGTCGGAAAAGCAGTTGTGATACAAGAGCAGAATGAACCATGTGTTTTCAAAAATTTTAGTTTTAAATTTTTTATAAAATTAAAATAAAAGTTAGAAAATATTTTTCAGTTTAAGTAGCGGAAAGTAAAATAACATAATGTAAAGTGTGAAAATTTAAGAGTTTAAAGAAATAGAGAGAATATCGAAAAATATAGAGGTTCAGTCAAATAAATAAAAAAGATATATTTCACTCTCCATGAATTAATCTTGAGAATATCCAATAAATTTAAAAGTTTTTAGTAAATTATACTTAAAAACTCTTTTATATAAGAAAAAATAAGCGCAAATAAATCAAAGTAGGATAAACCCACTAAGAAGCAATTTCTCCAGCAGAGTCATCACTTTTCTGTAGCAGAGAAATTTATGAGTGTAAGTTATTGATTAACTTAACTCAAAATGTAAGAGTTACCACCGCACTTTTATTTTATCCAAAAAGAAAGGAAAAAGAGTGAACAAAATCTAAAGAGTTCTAAACAAGAACAAATAGAGAATGGGTAAGGGGGTTGGTAACGAAAAGGGAAGACGTTAACACCCAAAACGTCTATAGTAATCTATAGTGACCCTTTGAAATATCTACGTTTTTTGGTTTGAAAATGTTTGTTTGAAAGGAGATTGGGGAGATAAGAAGAGAATTATTTTTTAAGATTTTTGTGTTTGGAGAGACTTGTCGCCTCATGCCTACGTATTCACAAAGTGCAATATAGGATCAAAACCCCGTAGTTCGTGGTACAAATAACAAAAAAAAGGTTTGTTAAGTCGTCATTTCTAAGCGAATAATTACACTTAAAGAGATGAATCATGTCTAAATTTATGAAAAAGTTTTAAAAGAAAAAGTGCACAAAGGCACAAAAAGAGTTGAATGAGTTTTTGTATTTTTTATGTCTTTTTGAAATTGCTAAAAATATGATTAACATTGATTGACATTTGTTAAAGAAAACAAAGTTTGAAAATCACTTGACCGAAGTCAAGGTTTTATTATGAAAGCGGTTTGATTTTGAAAATAAGAAGGTTTTGAAAAACGAGGAAGATTTAAAAATTTAAAAAGGGGAGGAGATAAAGTGACTATCCTAAAGCATAAAGATAAAAGCTAATGATAAGAATAATCTAACCACATAAGCAAGCTTCATAACACAAGCATCCATTCCTTTAGATTAGGCCTTGATCAAAATAGGTCTTCAAAGGAGAACTTCAAGTATTCAAGCATCCAAAGTTTACAATCGCAAACTTTCAAGCATAGGTTAAGATCCTATTTCTAGGTCCAAAATTCCATGTCCAATGCATAGGATAGTAACCATAGTCCACCATTAAGAGAACTAATTTTTTAGGGGTTTAAGCATTTATTAATGTTTTTTGTCCAAATGGACAAAAGGAAAAAGTAGTGAATAAACATAAACAAATGATCCAGGTGTGTCGCTACTGCGAAAATCGGCGCCGACTGAACAGGAGAGTCGCCACCGTGCGTTATTTATCCCAAAGGAGGGAAAGTAAACGCTCGAAGTAAACCTACCGCAAAGACGGGAAAGGAATGGTCATCGCAACCAAATCCTGGATTCGGGAGTCGGTTACGCAAGGGGAAGGTATTAGCACCCCTCACGTCCGTCGTACTCGACGGGATCCACGCTTGTTTTCTGGTACGGATGCAAAGCAATCTATCTACGGCTGCTAAATCTAAACGGAAAGAAACTGACTCGATAGAGCGTCGCACTCTATGCCTACGTATTCTCAAGAGAGAAAGTCAGAGTCATCGTAGTTCGGGAAACTACAGGGAATTGGCTCGCCAAGACTTCGCGTCTTGTGCCTACGTACTTCCACACGGCATGGAAGATCAGGGCTTTCGTAGTTCAGGCTAACTACGGCTAGACAGGGTATTCTCGATCACACAGGAGTGAGAGACTAAGCTTGGTTCTAGAGGTACGGGAACCTACGGGAACTTAGAACTACGGTCAGGTCTCAATCGCACAGCAGCGAGAGAAAGGGAAACATCAGTCGTCAGCGGGAAAGTCTCGATCGCACAGCAGCGAGAGAACAGAGAGGTTAGTTGTTAGTGTGCTCGCTAGGATATCGCATCCTATGCCTACATATTCTCATTCGGTATGAGAAATCAGAGCAGCTGTAGTTCAGCCTACTACAGTTAAAACCGGGAAAAAGGGAAAAGGGAGCTCGCTAGGATACGGCATCCTATGCCTACGTACTCTCGTCGGGCACGAGAGATCAGAGCTAACGTAGTTCAACGGGAAAACGAATCTCAATTGTACGGGAGCAAGAGAAGGGGTCTCGATCGCCTGAACGCGAGAGAAAGGAGGTAGCAGGCCTACGCCTAAACGGGAAGGAACTCGGGACACACACGCAAGAACCTAAGAAGAAACTCCTCAGTTGGCACTTCCTTTGTATCTGACGATGCAGCCCACAACACTCGACGGTTGCCTGAAGACTTGAATATGACGATGATGATGTTGGACGAAGCAGCTCCTGGGCTCCTGACGTGCGCGCAAGCTCCATTCCAATCTTCTCCTTTCTGGCTCTTTGATGATGACACTCGAACCAGGGACAATGTGACGCTTAGACCGTCATGGTTCGACTTATACGAGAAATCGAACTCTAAGAGGTAGCGTATTAATATCCGTGTCAAAGACAAGATAGAGAAATGATATCGAAAATCATTCTCCAATTGAATCGTGTCACACGGCCAGCCAGAAATAAAATTGGGATAAAATCGGATAGAAAATAAGATAGGAGAGAAAATAGGAGACAAACCCACTAACAAATGGAAATAAAAGTCTACTCCTAAAATACGGCAATTAAAGTCCTAAGGGAACATTTCTAAAGAAATTAACAGGAAATTGCGTACTAAAATAGCATAAAAATACTATAATATTCTATAGAGAAAAATATGAAAAACTATATTAAATCTATATTATTTTACAAGAAAATGGAATTAAAATCCCTGATAGTGCATTTAATATTTCTAATAAAATGTAAGGAAAAAAATGCAGCAAAAGGGGTTTTATTAGTGGCTACAAGGGTGCAGCAGAAAAAAAAAAAAAGATGGAAATTGGGCCCAGCCCAAAACTAACAGCAGAAAAAAAAAAACAAGGGAGGGGGATAGCAAAAAAAACGGGGAGTGTGCAGCCAAAATATTGGGCCCAGCCCACACTAACAGCAGAAAAAAGAAAAATAAAAAAAAAGGATGGGGAAGGGGAAAAAAAGAAAAAACGGAGGGTGTATGATCAGTACAACATGAAATGGGCCTTTGAGCCCAATCTACCAGCCACGGTCCACACTTCTTCAGAAAACAAACCTTAAGCGATCCTCCCTCTCCCTTCACTGTTCACACAAGAAAACCTAGCGCCGTTTCCCACTCCTTTCTCCAACTCTCTCACTTCGTTCAAACTTCTCCCAGAAGCTCACAACACCATAATCGTTCAAATCAAACATGCTAAGTCTTATAACGCCAGCAAAACGACGTAATCAATACTATCTAATCCCCGGCTTGAAGTTGTTCGTGAAGTGTCTGACGAATCTGAAGGTTTCTGGAGAACATTCTTCTTGATGAAGATGATTAGAGGATGCATTGATGACAGATGCATGTTGATCTGGATGAAGGTCGGATGACATTGACGAATCGAGGATCCATATGATGATAAAGGTTATTGAAGATCGTGTTGCAACTTGAAAGAGATGAAGATTTGCGACGCCGCTCTGAAGAATTCTATGAAGATGCATGACGGACGATAAAAAAAATCTGGAGAACAAAACCTGATGAATGATGAAGAAGATTTATGGCGAAGTATCAAGAACGCTGAAGGATCGGATGATTTCTGACGTTCCTTGAAGGTTGGATGTTTCGTTGAAGAGATCTGGAAAGATCTACATGCGCGTCTTGAAAGTACTTACGAAGAGGATGAAGATTGAGGTTGATCTGGAGATCTCTGAACTTTTGGAGGATCTTCGTGAAGATGAAGGAGAAATCTGATGAACGTTCTTGAGGGTTGAACGAGGATCTGGAAAAGTTGTTGATGGATCTGGAGGAAATAGTGTGAAAATGATGAAGATCTTCAACGGATGAAGGATGCGATAAGTCTCTGGAAATTATTTGAAGAACACTGAAGATTATTGATGAAAATCCTTGCGTTTCTGGAGATTTGACGAAGATCTGATGATCTTGATGAAGAACGAGTGATGAATTTATGAAGGTTGCTGGAGAATGCGTGGATGATATTTGGTGAGTTCTTGATACAATCTCTGATGAACACGAACGGAGGAGTCAAACATTGAAGATTTTCTGGCGAATCTGGATGAACATAGATGAAGGAGATGATGAAGATTGAAAGATGTTGGATGAATTATGGAGTTCCTGACGATTTGATGAAGATCTGATAATCTTGTTGATGATCGTTTTCTGGAAGAAAAAAAAGTGTTTCTGGCGGTTGTTGTGGTGGTCGGAGGCAGTTAGGGTGAACGCCGGCGAGTGGTTAGGGTGGTCGGCGGGCAGTTATGGTGGCCGCCGGTAATTGCATGTCGGTCGGTGAGGAGCTCCGGTGAGGGGACGGTGAGGGGACAAGTGGCGAGAGGGAGAGGGAGCCACGTGTGGAGGTGGGGGTTGCATGA